CACTGAGAGAGCATGAAGTGCTCTTGTCGCGTCATAATACAACATGACCAAGCCCTGCTAGAAGACAGCACTTCCCAAAACAAACTACGCAAGAGAAATAAAAGTAGAACAACGACTTGTTTCAGCACATAAAAAGTTAGGTGTACCAGTACAATACAGATTTCTTTTTATGCCCACTATTCTGTTACCTATTTCGCCTTAAACTGCGGATATGCCCCACAAAGACTCCCCCCCCCCTTAACATCAAGCAGTCTAACCGACGACCACAGAGCTCAGCTCTTTGGAAAAAGCATTTTGAACTATGGGTGCGCATAGGTTGGTCTTCGGCCTGGCGTGCGACATACATTACGACCTTCTCATGGACGAAAGGCCTTCTCGAAACAACGTAGCCCACTACGGCATCGCAGGAGTTGTAGAAGTTAGCGGCTCAAGTAGGGTGCGAAGGAGCCCGCTATTAAAAAGTTCAGCTAGGAGTCGATTCAGAGTTTTTAGAAGACTTTACAGGACTTCGCAAAATGGTCGCTATACTAGCAGACGGACAAGACAATCGTAACCTGTCGCGTCGCCGCCCGCGAGGCAAATTGTGGATGTACATCACTTCCTCGATTGGAGCAGCGAAACTAACATGATGTCAAGCAAAGACAAGACTCTGTGACGGGCAGCATCGATTTTAACCACTCCTGTGGTATCTATATTCAAACAAACAGGCAGGAAGACTCGTCCTTTGGACAGGCTCGCCACGCCTACCAGTGCAGCAAATTACGATTGTCTTGTCACATATTCCGATAGAATAGCGCCAATTACTGAATTGTTATCCAGCACCATAGACACATGAGACAACGGAAGTATTCTCCAAATACTTATTTACTATAACTTACAACTAACCTTCAGCAACATTGACTGAGGCGCAAGGGCTCGATTCGTTCGACCCACTGGTAGTAGCCGCTGTCTGCTTGAGTGATGTGAACATCCGAGCAAATGGAAGACAAAATGGTGGCAAAGTTTGCTCCAGCGAAGGTGTGGCGTGAGTCAACAATGGCTTCATAAAGCTGAAAGTAGCAGATAAACTATGGAGAACCACTGACCGCTAAGACAAACATCTGCACACTCATCAACTATGTAAAATTCAGAATAAAATGGCTGGCGCTGAAAAATAACCCCTTTCTGGTGTAAAGGCTTAACTTGGCGTCTTCGCGGGTACGACTTTCATTTCTAGCCGTTCTGCGCTCTGCTAAGGCTGAACACTTTGTATGGAAGCAATCATTCCTGCTCCTACTTTCAGCCTTAGGAGAGGGCTACGCCGGCGCTGGGGCCCAAAAACGGAACAGTGGTGTTCGTTGCGGGGTGCTCCAACTAATCTCAAAAGCAAAATCGTAACGAATCTGGCATGAAAAGTCATGACGCCAAGTTAGCGTGGCCATAATGCCGTCGGCGCCAAGTGCAAATGTCGTTTTCGTAACAGGACGTCAAATGGCCCCTATGAAAGTTTATACCAATTTTGGTGAAGAAAGAGGTAGCGTTTAATGGCGCCAGCACCCGAAATAGATGTCATAGTCGTTCACAGCACTGGATAACCCTCCTGGTCAAGGTTTCAGCACAAATTGAATTTTTTTCTTACTAGGCGGTAGTAAGAATAAACAGTGCCTAATCGAGTGACGTTGATTCTGTGACTTACTTGGCATCGAAGTTATACCATTTTCTTGGCAAGAAAGCCTTATCCCATGGATTTGATCCGCATGGAGTAAGCGGTGTACCCGCCAAATGCAAATCATCAGCTTCATTCTGAAAGATCAATAAGAATCGCGCCTCGTATTTTTTTGACCACTAGCTATTAATTATGAAATATTACCAGTATAACATTATTATTGTGGTAGTGGTGTAATACCACTAATACGCTTCTCTACGCTGACATGTGATGCTCGCCTGCGAGGATAAGAATGGTCTCGAGGAACAAGTGCAAGCTTGGACTGAACGGTTAGCAAACTTCGGACTCAGATTGAACGTCAAGAAAACCGAGTACCTGACGACTGACCCGGACGAGTCTGGAT